TAAATCATTACCCAGTATGCACTGAGTTTGAGTGCTGCACGTTAAAAAGACAAGAATTGGCTTCCCTCTCTTCTCCTCTTGCACCCAAGGCCTTCACCAAGAGGGTGCATTAGCTCCCATATCACATCCTCTGTCTGGGCCCAGGGAGCTCTATTGTCACCCTATACAACAGCCCCTTTGGCACTCCTTGCCTTAACGCCCTAAGGCTCCTCAGTCTCAACGACTGGGGCTTCCAGTAGCAAAAAAGGGCCTGGGCATACGTCACCTAGTGAACCGCCTAATCTTCTTTCCCTGTGCATTTGCACCAGCCATTCTGTGGCACGAATCAAAAGCCACCTCGCTAATTAGAGCCCTGCATCCATTTACTGTTATTCCACGATAGAGAAGTGATCTCTGTCTCCATATGTATAGAAATAAAGGCAATAAAATGCATGCGGTCTCAAGGATGCATTGGAAAGCTGTTCTTTAGTTTAAGTCACAGAGCCTATTTACAAGCAGAAAAGCAGTTGAGAGTCTGTGTGAAAGCCAATGCAGTGAATTTACACATGTCATTTAAAGCTGTGTTGTGTGACTTCTGGCATTGAGGACTTGCATTTGAAATGATTCAAAATGTTTGGCCTGTAATCTATAAGTCAGACTGAAACAAGCAACTTCTTAGCATTTGACACTGGAGTGTTAAGTTGTGCGAAGCAGTATTTTTTCTGTGAGTGGCAATATGCCATGAGAATCACCATTTCACCACATTGCATACTTAATTCATTCAGAATAATTGTTGTGAATCCTAGATTCACGTATAGTATTATGACCCAGAGAGACCTCTCTCAAACTCTTTATTGCATGAAACTTATATCTAGCTCTGAACATATAGCTTTTCAAAATATACACTGCAAAAAAAGATTTTCTTACTTATAGTATTTTTGTCTTGTTTTCCAGTATAAATATCTAAATATTCTTAAATCAAGATACATTCACTTGAGAAGCAAAATTACACAAGATATTAAGTCTTGTTTTCTGAAAATGTATCAAAATTAAGTGCCGTCATGCTTAAAACAAGAAAAGAATGTCTGCCAATATAGGGTAAGAAAAATATTATTGTTTTCCCTTTGAATGAAAAAGCAAACTAACTTAATTTGAACACTTTTTATTAAACTTTTTTATTTTTTTGCAGCGTTGTAGTGTTGCAACTACTAAACGTATGAATAAATAAGATTTTTTAAAATGTTGTTGAGATAAGTCTATTAGGCTTACCAAGCATTTTTTAAATCGAAAATACTATGAATAAACAGCAATATTTAAAATAATTGTTTTCTATTTTTCTATATTTTAAAATGTAATTTTTTCCCGTGATGCACAGCTGAATTGTCAGCATCATTACTCCAGTCATCAGTGTCACAAGGTCCTTCAGAAATCATTATAATATATGCTGAACTGCAGCTCAAGAAACATTTCTTAATATTATTAATGTTGAAAACGTCTTGCTTCTTTATAGGCATCTTAAAAATGCATTTAAATAAAGCTACTTTAAATAATAAGACACTGTAATAATAAAATATAAGAGTCATTTTATTTCTCTCATATTCAACTAACATTAGCTTGTATCAGTAGAAAGAGTCTTTAGTCGTTTTTT